AACCCAAAGTTGATAAGAGCAGCAAGACATTAAGCCGACTAAACTGGAAATTAAGCCAACTCAAGTATCAATTTTCACAAAAGTGCCACCATCTAACATATAAGCTTAAATATTTTCTTAACACGCACTGGGTTATTTTTTAACCAAAGGTGTGTAACAATTTTTTAATAAACGGGTAGAAGAAAGATTAAACTCCGCGGGTTTTGCTGGTTTCAACCATATCAACGAACATTTAAAAAGAAAAAAAATAATAAAAAAAATACATCGAGTGAAAAGGGAATTTACCAAACCGTTTCATTTTGTGATTTCTTGACGGCGAGTCGAGACCAAGCTAAGACCTTCCCGGAAGGAAGATGCTTGATTTGGACAGGGGTCGCAACAATTCCGATGAGTTGTACGGAGTTGCAAAGCTCTTTCTTCCACTGAATCTCAGAGGGCCTCGGGTATTGCGAAACTGCAAACCGCTCGTATTCATAAACCCCATTGTTATTGTTTGCAGCTGTGTTGTTGTAATCAAATGAGCATCTTATTCTGCATACTGAACCTAATCGTTTGCTTCGGTTTGAAATTGTCGTAATGGATAAAGATTGAAAACTTCGGGAAAGTGAGGGAAGATACGAAATTGGTAAAGGGTTTTTCGGGGTGCAATTGAGGGGTTTTCTGGTTAGCATTACAGTTTGTTCTAATGCCATTGGAACTGGATACACTGTTTGCTCGGAAGAAGCTGAGATAAAGGAAAAGATATTTGATTTGAGTTAATATCACAAATGGTCACTCAAGTTCAAGTGAAGTTTCAAAATTGGTAATTAACGTATCTTTGAGACTCATTTTGTCATTAAAGTTAACTAATATTACATAATTGGTCATCCGTTAAACCTTGTCGATTAACGGTTTGTGTACATCTGAAATTGCATTTCTTCCAAAAAAATCAAAAAAATAAAAAATCAAAATAAAAAAAACGTTATTAAAATAATTGCGTTAGCCAAAAAAATTAAAAATCACTCCCTTTAACCCTTGTCCTACTGTATCAGACCTACCATGATTAACTTAAATATTTTCTAAATTATTTTTACTAACTAGAATTGACAAATTATCTGTAAATTCAGAGTCCTTTTAAACCCATTATAATCTAATAATGCATTTTGAAATAGAAAATTGATGAAAAAAATATGATTAAAATATAAGAAAAAATTTTGAATTTGCGTGTAATATCATCTTATTTAAGAATGTGTGGTTAAAATGGGGACAACTAGCACAAAATGTCCTTAACTTTCAATATTATTGTACAAAATATTCATACTTTTCATTTTTTTTTTTTGACATTTTCACACTTATTTTTACCTCTCATTGCAAAAAACTTCATTTTTACCAATTTTTAATTTAAAATCTTCAATATACCCTTCCAATTTAAATAAAACAAAAAAACATAACAAATTACAATCTTACTACTAAACTTTAAAACAAGTGCAAATAAGTTGAAATAAATTATTAAAATATTAAAAATAACCAAAAAAAATATTCTCTCTTCTCTTCTTCTTCTCTCCCTCCCTTCGCTTCCTCCACCATCAAATGGGCTCGTCGCTTTAAAAGCCAAAAAATTCCAGCTAACCACCGTCCAAACCGCTTGATCTCCGTACCATCGTAAAGCTCTCACTTCCCTCTACACACAACACTCAACATCCAACCTTCAAGCCAACATATTTTAGTTGGAATTTCAAGCAAAAATATCCAAAACCCATGGATGCAAATAATGGCGGCACCACCGGTTTTCGACAAAACCCATGCTATTCCCAACACACCAATCACCGTGCTCACTAAGAAGCCTCTCTTCATAGTCTTCAAATAACAACAGATGCACAAAAATCAAAATCTACGACAATAGTTTTTCAATTTTTTATTGGGCAATATTTGAACAGAAATTTTGGTACATATTAAAATGAAATTGATGGAACCCATTGTTGTAATAGATGCAGAGTGATATGGCGAAGTGGGAATGGGTGGTTCGCGACGACGAAAACCACTCGATGGAAAAAGGCAACATGTTGTGCGTCGATAAGCTGCGTTTTTTGTTATGTTGGTCATATAAATTTGTTGTTTGTTCGATTTGTATATGGAAAAGTGTTTGGTAATTGATGGCACCCATTTGTTGTGTGAGCTCCGATATTTTAGGTAATGATTGGGTGGTGGTTGGTGAGATGGAGGCTATCAGCTCCATGAAGGTGAAGTTATTTTTGGTTGGGTTACTTGTAATTCTTTCAAAAATTTAGGAGTAAGATTGCAAATTTATTTTTTTCTTTTTTATTTTATTTAAATAGGAGGATATATTGTCATTTTATATTAAAAATTGATTCAAATAAATTATTATTTTTTTTGCAATGAAAGGTGAAAAATATTAAAAAATGAAAGGTTTGAACATATTACACAATAAATATTTAAGGATATGAACGTTTTGTGCTAATTATACTTAAAAAAAAGGATAAAAATATGTTTTGAAGATAATATGGAGGAAATAAGAGCTCAATATACAAATGAGTAATTATATTCACACCACATTTTTTATTAGCTGCATCACATTTTAATTTAGTGTGTGTTTGAGCTACATTATTTCGAAAGAATGTATTTTAGAATAGTAGATTGATGAAGAACGTGTGGTTAAAAAATCAGTAAAAATTTTGGATTTGCGTATAATATTATTTTATTGAAAAATGTATGATTCAAATGATGTCAAATCACTGTTTAAAAATGTATCTTTTTGAAAGAATAAGACTCAAACATAGCCTTAATTTGCATTTACGTTATGTGTGTGTGAGGGAGAGAGGGAGAGAGAATTGTTAGGTCCTCATTTTTGAAAAAAAAATAAAAATAAAAATATTTATACCAAATTATATTGAAATAGAAGGTTAAAAAAAATGGAAATTACAAGTTTCCAAACATTTCAAAATCACAATGCAAAAATCAGGTCGAAAAGTTTTTTATTCAGAATTCAGGTATTGATTTAACTAATAATATTAATATAAAACATATCAAAGCCAATTCCAAACCCTAAAATTCAAATTATCTCTATCTTGTCACCCTTTCACGCAGTCATCAAAATCGTCACCACCACCAAACTGCCTGTACCACCGCCATCGGCATCACACTCAATCACTTTACCATCTTTACCACACCACAACCATCACACCCACCAAAAAATCCCCAAACCCACAGCTGTAGCAGCCTTTCCATCAGCACTAAATAGAACAAAACAAAAGAAATAGAGACGGGGACAAAAAAATGGCATTGCCGCCATGCATAAAGTAGCGGCACAATGCAACGACAATGGGAAACATAGTGACAATGCTGCGACCGTGGCTGCTCTACAGTTACTCTTGTTGCCACTCAACTTACTGTATGTGTCATCATTCAATGTCTTCATCCTGTCGCTGGTGGAAGTGCGAAGTGAAAATAAAGCAGCTACTAGATATGAGAAGTGAAATGAAGAAGCCCGATAGATTTGATAAAAAAATAATAAAACAAGTATAATAACTATGTAAAATGAGTAGCCACAGTTGGTTTTACATTGCTATGGTATGTAGTTCTAATTTGTTGGGTGTGGGTAGATATGGTTTTTCAAATGGTGGTGGCATTGATGGTGTGGTGGTGGTTGTGTTTTTGTTGTTGTTGTGATCGTAGTGGTGGTTGACATGTTTTGATGGTGTTGGGGATTTCGGTGGTTCATGTTGGTAGTGGAACTAGCGATTTGTGATAATGTAGGTAGTGAGGTGGTGGTCGGCAATTGTGTGGTGATGTGGTGCGGGCAACGATTGTGTGGTGGTGGTGGTCATTTTTGTTATTGTTGTTGGCGGTGGTTGTGGTGGCGGCGGTGGTGTTGCAGGGCGGGGTGGGATAGTGTTTGTGACTAACTATTTGGTTGATTTATGACCAAGTATTGGTGGTGAATCAGGATTAGGGGCGTTTGTTTGGTGTATGTGACCAATTATTTAGTTCTTTGTGACTACCTATTAGACTGACATTAAAATTTGTTAATTTGTAACCAACAAATTTGAAAATCTTTGACCAATAAAAAAACTATAACCTATAAAATTTTTGATTTGTGACATCGAAATAATTTGTGACCAATTAATTTGACAATATGTAACCAGTAAAATAGTTGTGACCTATAGTTATATATATGTGACTATTAATTGTATATTTGTGACCTTATTAAATTTAATTAATTAGTTAGCACCTAAGTTTACATTTTAAAAATTTACACCTGAAAATTGAATTGTGTCAAAGTTATTACCTACATTATGAATTTTTCCTGTTAAAAAATAGGCGTGTTCTAACGTTTAAAGTCAGTCCGGGCCATTGGATAGAGCCCAAATAATATAGTGGGCCGAACATATTGGTGGTCTTGTGTAAAACACGCGTCCAGTACCAAGCTCGCTTTGGCGCACTACGCACCCAGTAAACGTCGGACACTTCTCCCCCTCTCGTGTCTGTCTCTGCACTCCCCAAATCTGAGCTCAGAGCATCACCCAAACTGTTAAATTTCAAGAAGATAGTGCTCGGCTGTCGCGCCGTCCAGCGCCTCTGTGAGATCCGTCAAGCTTTCTGCCGAACTCCCCAGGTCCTCCTCTATTTCTTTTTTTTTTTCCTTCTAATTTTTGCTGTTGATTTTTCCCCGACAGAATTAATTTCGGTGTATTATACAGTCGTCGAGATCATTTTCAACAGCTCTTAACTACGTAAGTTGATAATATTTTTACTTTAAAATTTGTTTTGTAATTTTTCCAACGTGGATGAGAATTTGTTTGGTCATATTTGCACATTGATTCTCTCGATAATAATCCGGACCTTCCATGGGAATTCACAGATGCAAACAAAGAAAAGGTTAGTGGCATTCGTCCATTGAGATCATCAAACAGCTCAGTTTTCCTTATAATGATAGCTTCGCGCGGGTCAGTCGCTAACAATTAAAACGGATCAGACGATTGTGTAAGGGACAAACCTCTTGAGACAAAATCCCAAAAAGAGGCGTTCTTTTATTGGCGATGACTTTACAATTGGAAATCAAAAACAAAATGCCTCCAAGGGGCGCAAGCACACGAGTTACTGAAAAAAGTGTTTAAGTCTAAACTAAGGAAATTAAAATTACATATTCTCTGTTCGAGAGTTTTTGATTTGGTCCTTTGCTCTGTCTTTTTTCCCTTTTATACTCCATGGATGATCTTTTTTGTGATCAACCGCCTAAAAACTACTTGATCGTTCTACAACTGCCCACTTTCCTCATAATGGCCAGCCTGTTATGAAAACTGTCTTTTTTTTAACTGCTGCCATTACTCTTCGTCGTTCAACCGTTTTCGATTGAATTCCTTGAATCGTGGAACGTGATAGGGCTGTTTTAATAACTGCTTTGATAACTGCACTTCTTGATAACCACAACGCTTTATGTTTGTTAAGACTTTGGGCGACTTGAAGGTTTGGGCGAGAATAGAGTAACAGCTCTGGGCGACTGCATGGCACTCCATTCGCTCAGATTTTGGGCGACTTGCAAAATTGGGCGATGGCGTTACCACGTTCTTGGGCCTCCCTATTTGGGCCTTCATCTTGAATTGTTTGATTGGGCTTCGTTCTTTGGGCTATCTGATTTGTGGATCCTCCAATTGGGCTTCATTCCTTGGGCCGTTCGATTTGGGCTGAATTTTTATGTGTCAACAATTACCCCCCAATATGGCAGAATTAATAATAAT